CAACTACTATTACCTTAGTTGTATCGTTGATTTCGCTGATCTCAAGTCATGAATTTTAGCAGTGCCATCTACGGAGGTTGAGATAATTCGTGGAGAACAAGGAGCAAAAGAGCATGAAGTAACCGTGCGAGTATGACAATCTTTGGATAAAATTTAATATACAATGCTACTTTTAAAACAAAATGCTACTGTGGGTGTGCGTAGGTCCCATATATTAAGGTAATATGTAAATTCCACAGCGCTGACTATCAGATAACCATTTGTATCAAAATTACAGCAGGTAACAGGAGCTCCATTATCAAATATATTCTATGCAAATAAGACAAAAATAAGGTACAGTCTCGATAAGTGAATGAGAATCCACAACATATAAATTTCCATCCAACGAGCCTATTATGAATCTACAGATAAAAATTACAATTGTTACAATTGATCATTATTTGAATTGTTAATAGATAATATAGCTTTTTTGGATATATTTAGAGTTTTAGAGCATTGTGAACTTGGAATATCCCATAATTTAATTGTCCCATCATAAGAGCCAGAAACAAGCTTCTCGTACATGCACAAAAATCGAACGCTGGAAACGGATTTTTCATGACCGCTAAATAAATAATTTGGCTAATAACTTAGTTCCATTATACATTTACTTTTATGAAAGAAGAATCGCATCTCATTACAAGTAAGGAGACCTTTAATTACCACACATAGCTAATGCTTAGCACTCAAATACTTAAACAATTTTTAAATTAAATTATTTATTAATTATTTTTATAAAAATTTAAAATTTAATATTTAATCATATTTTTATAAATTGTTATTTACAATACTTTAATTCTATTAGGTTTTTCAATTGTAAATCATACTTTAAATTATATTTATCATTATTTTGTTGTTTTTAGCAACTTTGCGCACTATTTTTGCAAGACAGGATTCCTAGGTGGACTTTCGATTTCGCACTTCCTTCCTTGTCAGCTGTTTCCTGAGCTATGGCAAGCTCCAAAAAGTAAGGTTTTTTGCTCGTCCCTAGCGATATTACCTTACTTTCGTAAATTTAACTTTTTTGCTTAGGCCTAAGATTGAGGATATTATTATTGGAAAAAAAAGAAAACCTAACCGTCTGATAGTTGATGATGCAGTTAACGATGATAACTCTGTTGTCTGTTTGTCCCAGGTTTGCTAAATTCGTGCTTATCTTCCTTTAGACAAAGATGGACGAGCTTCAATTGTTTAGGGGTGATACTGTATTAATAAAGGGCAAAAAAAGGCGCGATACTGTTTGCATTGTCCTGGTTGACGAATCCTGTTCTGATGATAGGATTCGTGTTAATCGTTGCGTCCGAAACAACCTTCATGTTAGACTTGGTGACATAGTTACTATACAAGGTTGTCCTGATATTGAATATGGCAGACGCATTCATGTTCTCCCGATAGACGATTCAGTTGAAGGCTTGACGGGGTAGGTTTATAGTATCGATTTACTGCTTTGTAGTAATCTTTTCCAAGTTTATCTTCAGCCGTACTTCATTGAAGCATATAGGCCTGTCAGAAAGGATGATATATTTGTTGTTCGTGGCGGGATGAGATCTGTTGAATTTAAAGTTATCGAAACAGATCCTTCGCCGTATTGCATAGTTGCTCCGGAAACCAGTATCTTTTCTGAAGGTGATCCTGTGAAGCGAGAAGATGAAGAAGAAAAAATGAATGAGATAGGGTATGATGATATTGGCGGCTGCCGAAAGCAACTTGCTCAAATCAAGGAAATGGTTGAACTACCTCTTCGCCATCCCCAATTATTTAAGGCAATTGGCGTAAAGCCCCCGAGGGGAATACTGCTTTATGGTCCTCCGGGAACAGGCAAGACTCTAGTCGCAAGGGCAGTTGCAAACGAGAGTGGTAGTTTCTTCTTTCTCATTAATGGCCCCGAGATCATGTCAAAACTTGCCGGCGAATCGGAATCCAATCTCCGTAAAGCATTTGAAGAGGCTGAAAAAAATTCTCCTGCTATTATTTTTATTGATGAACTAGATGCTATCGCTCCAAAACGCGAGAAGACTCATGGTGAAGTTGAAAGACGAATCGTATCCCAGCTTCTAACTCTTATGGATGGTCTAAAGAAGAGGAATCATGTCATCGTCATGGCTGCTACAAACAGGCCAAATAGCATTGATCCTGCGCTCCGCCGTTTCGGCCGTTTTGATCGTGAAATTGAAATAGGTATACCGGACAGTATAGGGCGACTTGAGATATTGCGTATACATACCAAAAACATGCGGCTCGCTGAAGATGTTGATCTAGAACAAATTGCCAACGAAGCTCATGGCCATGTCGGGGCTGATTTAGCTTCTTTGTGCTCCGAAGCTGCTCTCCAACAAATAAGAAATAAGATGGATTTAATCGATCTTGAGGACGATACGATTGACGCCGAGGTTCTGAATTCACTTGCAGTCACAATGGATGACTTCCGTTGGGCCCTGAAAAAAAGTAACCCTTCTGCATTGAGAGAAACAACTGTTGAAGTCCCAAATGTCACGTGGGATGATGTTGGAGGTTTAGAAAATGTTAAACGTGAGCTACAGGAACTTGTCCAATATCCTGTGGAACACCCAGACAAATTTCTTAAATTTGGTATGACGCCGAGCAAGGGTGTATTGTTTTACGGGCCACCTGGATGTGGTAAAACTCTCCTAGCCAAAGCCATCGCGAACGAATGTCAAGCTAATTTTATCAGCATCAAGGGGCCGGAACTACTCACTATGTGGTTTGGTGAATCTGAGGCAAATGTTCGCGACATATTTGATAAAGCCCGGCAAGCGGCTCCATGCGTTCTGTTCTTTGACGAATTGGACTCAATCGCCAAGGTAATTTTTAAAAATAACTTATAATATACTATATTTAGGCTCGTGGTGGGAGCGTCGGTGATGCTGGCGGAGCTGCCGACCGTGTCATCAACCAGTTGCTCACAGAAATGGATGGCATGTCTTCTAAGAAAAACGTTTTTATTATTGGAGCTACCAATCGACCCGATATAATAGATGGAGCTATTCTTAGACCTGGTCGTCTAGACCAACTTATTTACATTCCGTTGCCCGATGAAAAATCCCGACTGGCCATATTTAAAGCGAATCTCAGAAAGTCACCTATTGCAAAAGTCAGTGGATCTTCTGGTTGAATATTAATTGGCATTAGGCTTTTCTTATATAAGTTTTTTTCTACTTTCAGGATGTTGATCTCACGTATCTCGCCAAAGTTACTCAAGGATTTTCAGGTGCTGACTTGACCGAGATTAGCCAACGTGCTTGCAAACAGGCTATACGGGAGTGTATTGAGGCCGAAATTAGATTAGGGCGAGAGCGTCAATCAATGCCGGACGCCATGGTACGTTGTAAAATAACTCACATTTTGTTTCTGTCTTACTTTCACCAAAAGCCGTGTCTCGCCAATGAACTTTTCAAATTATTTAGGTTTACCTAAATTTGTATTACCTCTACCCTGAACTTAATCAGATGATTAGCTAAGCCTTTGGCTTGGCAAATTTGCATAAAATCTGTGATTGATATGCCAGTTTTTTCATGTCTAAGTTAAATATATTGAATTATTATATTATTTCTCTCCTTTGGTCCTTCTGAATAAGATAAAGAAATATGTTTCTTTTTTTCTATACAAAGATAATTTTGGTAATTTAATCCCAAACTTTTCTCTTCACTATCAGGAGGATGACGTTGATCCTGTGCCTAACTTA